TCATTCTAAAGCAGTAATGCCTTCCATAAAATGATTTCTTTCGAGGCCTGCAAAATACTCCTCTACAGCGGCTATGACTTCATCATTTGTGGTAAATTTCTGTCCGCCCAAAAAAGTTTTGAGCTTAGGGAATAAGTGGAAGTCTGATGGCGCTATATCAGGCGAATAAGGTGGGTGGGATAGCAAATCATACTTCAATTCGTTGATTTTTGCCATAGCTTTAACACATGTGTGAACCCTAGCGCTGTCTTGGCGGAAGATGATTTATTTTTCGCCAAATCTGGTCGTTTTTGCTGAATACACTGATGAAAATTATCTAGAAGATTAGCGTAGTATTCTCCATTAATCGTTTGACCTTTAGGAAGGTAAACTATCATCAAGATCCCATCTGCATCCCAAAAGACGGAAGCCATCACTTTTCCATCCGACTTTACAGCCATGGCTTTTTTGGAACCGGGCATCGCGATTGCGTCCACTGTTTTTATTGAATTTTTGATTCTGGCGTGTAATAACGAACCCATGTTTTATCTGTTGTTACAAATCGACGTAAAAAATCGAAACTCTCCTCTGAAACGGTCCAGACATTCTTTTGACTTTTGCACCCGAATCCTCTTTTGATCGTGCGTAAGCAATCGCGGCACCCAACGGGCCGATGACTTTTTCATATTTAATTCCTCACTTAGGATATGATGTACCCGGTCTTTTGAGATACCTGTAGTATCAGCTGTTTCAGATAACTTCAATAGTCGATCTGTTAAAACCATATCATGTACTTTCACGACCATTTCTGGAGTCGTGACGCTTTTTGGACGTCCGGGGCAGGCTTCATCTTGGACACATGTACGACCGCGTTCAAACTCAGCCACCCAGTTTTTTACTGTGGCATAAGAAGGAACACATTCACCCTAAGCATTATTTAACTCGTCATAGATATATTTCCCTTTCGTGCCCTTCATATGAAGAAACTTTATCACCGCTCATTGTTCAATTTTATCCATTTTGAAAACACTTGTCGAAATATATTTTCAAATGACAAAAAATCAATAAAATTTTCACGCCACCAAATTCAAATTTAGAACACAGGTAGCCAGAGATACGAATTTAAAAATGACATATATATTTTTTAAAGTTTAACTTTTTAAATAGTAGAGGCTAGTTACTTATCATCCCGCCCTCGTAGTTAGATACAAAAAATGGAAATAGTATAACGATAATTTTTCGATGGATCTATAATATATGAGATTGAGTCGCGGGCTCTCGGCCTTTTTTTACTTTTGTTACATATAAATATTTGTTATTGTTAGGTCATATCAAAAATTTTTTTTTTCGGTGGTCTAAAATATTGTTTTTATAATATAAAATTTATATACAAAAAAATAGATGAACTTCTTTTAATATACAATACGTAAAATGATAGGTAAAATTAAATCAATGATCTTGAATTCAAATAACAATCTCCTAGTAGGTACGTGTGGGGGCATGCGTCGACCTCCCTAATCTCCTAGTCTCACTTCTCGATCATTCGAATACAACAGTAGTCTGCTTATTAGTGATAAGCGCATTAAATTGGATAACGCGTTTATCGTTTAATAATTTTTAAGTAATGCATATTTTCAATAACAAACAGATATAAAAATCTATACACCACAAATAATGGGCGATAGCATGTTGATTGGGAGATTTAACCAGGGCCCTGAAACTGCGATACTATAAGACAAATATTTTTTCGTGTGGAAACTAGCGACATCTTGTAGCGGATGTCCCTAAAGTTAAAGTTAGGGCATTTAATTATTGTATAACTAAACACTGAAAATAAAATCATGCAAGTCTTTATTTATTAAGGACAAATTGATAAAATTTTATCAATTTGTGGTTTCTGAATATTTACAAAATCCTTCATTAAAAATAAAATATAGTATAGGTAATGTGCTGCCATCTACAGGAGCAATGAGAAACTAATCGAAGCACTGGTGGATTTCACTGGTGGTAGGACCTCTTGGGAGTCCGCACGGGTAGGTACCACCACCCCGCCTATTTCCGCCGTGAAGCAGTAATGCGTTTCGGTTCGAAGGGTGGGGTAGCCGTTGTAACTATACTGAGACCTTAGAACTTATATCTCAAGGTGGGTGGCGCATTTACGTTGTAGATGTCTATGGGCTCCAGTAACCACTTAACATCAGGTGGGCTGTGAGCTCGTCCACCAATCTAAGCAATAAAAAAAAAAAAGCAAACCCATCTTGTGACCGACGCCCGTAATTTTTTTTGTTGAGTGCTTGAGTTGCTTATCTATAACTAATTTATGTGTATTATCTATGGTCAAGGTATCTATCAGTAACGCGTGCTAGCCTTTGCCGAAGCTCTCTTGCTTGACTGATTAAAATAAAACAATATGTTAAGCGACGATGACGGCCATTTAGATGGCAATTCAATTAGAGTCAGCAGCACTTCTCCGACAAATATATGTATACTTTAATACACACATTCGCTGAAAGCACTAACTTTCCACCAACCATACGTATGTATATTATATAGCAGACCTTCCCTGAATAGAAAAAATATTTTTTATCATGAAATACGAAATTATAGTTCGATAATAATTTTGTCTCCTTAAAGCAGTGAACTGAATGTTAGAACAGGCAAATACGACTTCAACCACCAGTTTTACGGATAGGTGGTATTTTTCGCTTGTTTTTATTGCCTTTGTAGGCAGACGAGCATATGACCCGCCTGATGGTGAGTGGTTACTGTCGCCCCTGGAGTTCAGCAATGCCAGGGGTAGAGCCAAGGCGTTGCCTACCGTTAAGTACTCTCCACAAGCCACGTTTGAAGAAGAACATGTCATAGCGCTCGGGAAAAACCGTGGAGGGGAGCTCATTCCAAAGCCGGACAGCACGTGGCAAAAAAGAACTCTGGAAATGCACTGTGGATGAACGCATTGGCTCCAGGTAGTATGGATAAACTCCAATCCGGTGGCGGGCGGTGCGATGATAAAAACGAGATGATGGGATCATCTCAAGCAATTCCTCCAAGCACTCCCCATAGAACGAACATACGGTACAAAATACAGAGAGAAGCGAAGTTCCTCTGCAGACCCAGAGGCTCCAAACGATCCATGAGAATGGATTTCGCTTCATGCATCTTATCATAATTCTTACTCTGGTAATCTTTTAATACCAGATAGATCATGTACCTCTATATATATACGTCTACTTATTTAAGCAACGAAATGCTTACCTTTTTTACTGACTTTTATTCTCACTACAAAAAAATTGTAAACAAACCTTACAAATATTTGTTATCTTGTTTTTATGAAATGTCGAACATCTGTAGCATTTGGCAACTTGTTATACACGCCGAGTAATATTTTACATCGAGCCGCAAGGAACAGGTGGGTTTAATATCGGTTAATTGCCCTTTGTTTCAACAAAATAATGATTTTAAGCCGAACTTTGTTAGCAACAGTAATAAATGTTCATACTGAGCGAGTAAAATATCTCGATTCGCGGAGAACGTTTCGAAGATTTGTAATGAGATGTATTTTATTGGGATTAGAAATTGTATCTGTCTAAATTATTTATCTACTCTTGTTGGGAGATGAATATTTCAAATTTTGAAGACTACTATCCTAGGAGTGCATTTAGAGGAGATTTTTTCAAATTACCATCCTAAAAGTGCTGGATGACGTAGTAAAGTTATTTAAAAGTTGTTTTTGTTAGTACTACTTCTTTTGCTAACTAACCAACATGAACATCGCTTCCAGATTCAAAAGTATCTTTGTAAACTTCTTTTTTTTTAAATGCTTATGTTCAATGGAATACTGCTACTATATATGGTACTGGATGCCCTAATCCTATTAACAATAATCTATAGTACTGCCAGTCCTCTGTGCAGAGCTTGCATGTCGTCAAATGCGACAGTATCCCACGCTTTACTGGAATACACTCGTTTTTACTTTCCCTACGTATGCTGATAGCCTTGAGAGGCTATTTCAGCTTCTCCTGGACGTGTAGGTGAACTCACGGGGCTCTAACCGGGAGTGTTGCTAACACTGGCCCTAGCAAGAGCTTCGCAGAATCTACCACCGGATCAGAAACGCGGCCCACTGAGAAGACCCGGCGAGAAACTCAGTGGGCAGTGTCTATGGGTTAAGTTACTTGTCGAACCTTCGACAAGGACGGTGACCGGTGCTTGTGGTACCTAAAAGCACCGTTGATGTATCGGGGGCACTCGTAATATGGTTACAGACAACGGACAACAGACGGATTAAATACGGAGGTCGTCGGCAGTATCAAAGCACTAATCGACTTTTTGAAATGAAATTCTCTGTAATTCGCCCCGTGGTCTAATAGATAAGACGCCTAATATTCTCGTATCGACTGAAGCGACTATACCTACCGGTGTTTAAATTCCGCTGATAGGTCCCCGTTTTTCTAATACAATAATAACATAAAATTTACAGGATAAAAGAATAGCATCGTGCAATCAAAATCAAACACCCGTAAATTATAATTTGCGTAATTACTATATGATTGAGACTTGGACCTCAAGTCTCAAGATGGGTAATGTCATAAACGCTGTGTTGCGATTAGGTTCCCGCAAACCCTTAACGTCAGGTAAGCATAACTTCTAAGGTTCACTCCTAACTATCCGAAGAAGCGGACGTCAATCTGTGAAAATCAGCCCAGTCTGAAGTATCATCAAGTATGATGAACGCTTCTGCTAAATTTAATGTTTAAAGCTGGATAATATTGATGTTCGAACGCAATAATTTCAAGAACTACCAGTCAGAAATTCAAAATGCTTTATACGAAAAGGCGGTATGAAAATAAAATTTCTGTAATATTTTAATACAATGAAGTACAGATGAGGAGAAAATGAGGAATGTCGTTGGACATTTAATAAAATATTTCTGAAATTCTAATTTAATGAAGCTTGGTTGTTAATTGAAAACTATTTAGGAATTTAAAAAAACGCAGTAATTTAATTTATTTCAAGCGAATCTTTAATTCACCAACATTAAACATCAAGTCCGAAACATATATAATATTACGAGTGAAAAAAAATTAAGCTCGAATTAATAACTAAATAATTTTAAAGAATCTAATAGACTACATATTTTTTGCTAATACAAAGAATTGAGGTAACAGTGCACTAATGCAGGTAATATTAGATTTTGGTGAGTTTTAGTGTAATTAACAAATTGGGCAGGCGACTTAGCGAAGGTCGCTAAAAAATGTTGGAAGCCGACTGCTTCCAGCAGACCATTCTACTTTGAGAATAGCACGAGGGGAGAGTTCCATTCTTGTTATGTATCCTTTTTAAATATTTTGGACATTCAAGTTTCCAATTCGTTATTTATGCAAATATCTGGTACCAGACACGCGAAAATCCTTGAAATAGATGTCTGAGTCATATTTATTTATGATTTACCATTGTAGACATGCGAGCATGGTGTGTTACCTTCACTCATGATCATCAGCGATACCAAGAGCACTGCCAAGCCACTGCTAGTTGCTAAAGATTCTCCTAAAATGCGTGGAAAAGCTAGGAAGCAGCTGATATGATGATTTTTCCTACAAATCATCCTGAAATTTCGTGCCTGGTGGTGTATATACAGTCCTCAAGATTGTAAAATAAGACCACGACGTACTTATTATCTGTAAATTAAAGATGATTGTTAAATTATTGAACACTACGAAGACACGTAACTTAAAAACATACATTGCATACAAAATTCTATTACATTTTTTTTATTGCCCTTGTATGCAGACGAGCATACGGCCCACCTGATGGTTAGTGGTTACCGTCGCCCATGGACTTCAGCAATGCCAGGGGCAGAGCCAAGCCGCTGCCTACCGTGCCAAGCCGCTGCCTACCGCAAAAAGTCACAAAAAGTCAATTTATGTTTCCAGAGAAGGAGAAGTGAATCCATTTATGTGGACATGTAACACCGATACAAACAGACAGAAAAACAGAAAATATTAATATTTAAATTTCTGTTTTTCTGTCTGTTTGTAATTAATTAGGAATTAAGTTAGGAATTAATTCCTAAAATATTTCAAATTTGAAGTATTGCAAAATTACTTTATATCTCATACTTTTCAGCTTTTTTGGGAACCGTTTTATGAGAGTTGGGTCGTGACAAGGTGACGACTCAGCGGAGGGATTTGTGGTGCAGGGCATGATTGAGGGTACAACACCCATAGACCTACCAAGTAAAGGCAGCTCTAAACGTCAAGGTGTCAAGGTGTGTACAAGAAAGGCGGCGGTACGCGAGAAATGGTGACATCTTGTAAAGAGCACCGTCACCCGAATTGATGATCACAACCACTCTGCCAAAAGTGCAAAATACTAAGAAGAAAATGGGAATCGTATGATGTAATCTAGTGACCTCAACTGGAAGACTGCTATTACTTACGACATAAATATTAGAACATAAATATTTATAAATTACTCACTTTGCTAAAACTTCCGTAACCTATTACTGAGAACTTGTACGCCGTTAGTTTTTTGGGCTTATGCGATCTGTGGAGATGATGCGAAGTCAATGACTCGTTTATAATGTTTTATTACTAGTATTTACTGTTATTTACTGTATTTACTGTATTTACTGTTACATAGGATTAAACATGAAAGAAAAAAAATAACTGACTATAAATAATCTGTTATATCTAACAGTATCCTGTTCGTTTTATTGATAGATGTGTTCTTTGACTTTTTTAATTTTTTTTATTGCTTCGATTGGTGGACGAGCTCACAGTCCACCTGGTGTCAAGTGGTTACTGGAGCCCATAGACATCTACAACGTAAATGTCCCACCCACCTTGAGATATAAGTTCTAAGGTCTCAAGTATAGTTACAACGGCTGCCCCACCCTTCAAACCGAAACGCATTACTGCTTCACGGCAGAAATAAGCAGGGCGGTGGTTACACCTACCCGCGCGGACTCACAAGAGGTCCTACCACCAGTAATTATGCAAATTATAATTTTGCGGGTTTGATTTTTGTTACACGATGGAAGGAATGGTTCCTTCACCGTGGAAGTCAATCGTGAACATTTGTTAAGTACATATTTCATTAGAAAAATTGGTACCCGCCTGCGAGATTCGAACACCTGTGCACCGCTCAACGCGAATGCACTGAACATCTTATCCTTTAGGCCACGACAACTTCAGAACTCATCTTAATCTCTTTATTCCTATTATTTTCTACCCTTATCCAGATTGCGACTCATACTTATGTTATTCATTTTTTTTACTTGTCTGTCTTTATCTTTTCGTTTTTATCTATTCTGTTATTGTCTTTGCTTTTTCTTTTCACACAATCCATCAATCGTCACTTTTATAATTATTAAATAAATAAATTATTTTACTTTACTTTTGTTATAAGAACATAAATTATGGTTTTTCAGCTCTTTTGAACTTAATTTATAATCAATGTTTTACCAAAGTTACTCGTTAAAAGAAATGAAGTAAGCTAATATTCCTATTACATAATATAATATTCATATTCTTACTTAAAGTCATAATAACGAAAACACTTTTATTGTAACTTAAATACATGTATCCTTTAGAAACTGGTCGGGGTATATTGGAACCCACACTGACCGTGTCTATTTACTAAGTAAAGCAATGATACGTTTCAGTTTGAAGAATAAGTAGGACATTATTGAACTTAGATCCAGAGCCTACAAATACTGACGGATTGAATAACACTTGGGTAATATTGGACAAATATACATGAGATAAAGTGGAAATCAATTTATAAAAATTTATTAAAATTGATTTCAAATTGGTCTTCCACTTTATTAAATGATTTTACAAATTTGAGCTAAAAGGAAAAAGGAAAAAATCGTTGTTTGTAAAAATAGCGAGCACTTTTGAAGCATTTCAGGCATATGATCATTGATAATTCTAATTCCTTTTCAGGTCAGAATTGCCAATCAAATTACTATAACTTTTGGGCTTCAAAATATTGGTACGATATATCGAAAACATAACACTAAATTAAATTGAAATTACCTATCTTGAACATAATTTTCGGCACAAAATTTTCGTAAGTGGTCTTTTAAAGCCCACTTAAATTAGGAAATCACCAAAAGCAATGGTTTATACAGTTAAAGTTTCTTTATCCGTATTCAATGACAAAGGCCCGTATTTCTGATTATTACGTAAAATCCTCAGACTAAAATAAATGTTTTTCCCTATCAGTACTAATTTATTTCCATTGATAGATCAATGCCAGCATCTCATCTGTAGACAGCATCTCTTTCTCTCTCGATATCTTCATACATTATTATTGATTACTGATTATCATCATCATTATTGATTACCACGTACCTTATCATAATTGTGAGAATAGTCTTTTTGGATTTCTGGTCCATTTCATACCATTTGCACAGAAACGCAGCTTCGGCAATTCTGCTACTCTATAAGACACAATAGCTTAATAATCTACAGCTACAAAAATGTAACTTTTTAAAAGTGTAACTGTACAAATGTAGGAGTAATTCAGAATATTATTACTGTATTCATATTAAAAAGAAACTAATAAATATTAATGAAAATAAAAGTAAAGGGTGAATTAACAACCGCAATGTTTTAAATTATCTGAGACAGTTAGATACGTTCATTTTTTATAACAATATATTTAATAAAGGACACTAACACTTTATTTAAAATTAAAATTACGTCACAAACCGAATTGTCATACCTACCTCAGAAATTAAGTTTTCCCCGAATACACTCATGATTAAAATTTGAAGCAATACTGATGATAGGAACAGAATGCAGCCAGGTATTTGGGTCAAATCGCCAATCTATTCAAATAACATTACATCAATTAATACAATCAAACAAATTTCGTATACATTATGAAGAAATAGTTCCTCATATGGAAGGAGAAATCAACGAAGTATTTTCATTATGTAAGCAGAAAAAGTATTTATAAAAGTTACCATCAAATTGAAGCCAAGTGCGCAAATTTCGACGGATCCAATCAAAACATTAAATAGGTTTGGAGCTGTGAAAATATTTTCCAAATCCTCGGCGAGTCTGAAAACAGTTATGAAATCTTGCGTTACTTAATTTTATTGAACGGAAATTTGCTCTTGCTTTTTTACCAGGATAATGAATAGTGTTATATATACTTAATTAATACGTGAAGCAAAAACTTTGTAACCCTTTTTACGAAAATTGCGCGGACGGAGGAGTATGAAATTTCCTATACTTATAGAGAATATAGAGAAGGAGTGCATACTGTTAATATTTTTTTAAATTATGCATAAATAATACATTAAATCAATAAGTAAAAACATTACACACACTACCATGTATTTGACACACACACACACGCATGCATGTTGTCAAACTTTTCTTATTGCTTAGTCTGTGATCAACTTGAGAATAGATTAATATTGTTTGTCTTTATTAATATCTGTCTAAAGTGTAGTCTTGGCGAAATCTGCGATTGTAGAAGTATAATAAGTCTTTGACAATAGAATCATAATGGTATACAAACTTACAATTACAATTAATTATAGTTGAATTTCGACTACTGTGGGACCACTAGTTAACTGTAAATAGGTAATAATGTCTGGTTGAATTGTACATGGAAAATAATAATATGTTAAATTTGACGGCTAAAGTCTTAATTGCTGATCTAATGAACATGAATACGTATGTAATCACGTATATACTCGTAGTATTAGTATGTAATGTTTGAAATGATTGTATCCTTTTAGAGGTTGTTAAGAAGAAAACCCCAAAAATTATGTGGCTTGCAGATTGTCATTTTTTCATTAAGTTAAGAATCACCAGAGAGGAATTTTCGGCATTTTAAAAGTTTTAATTAAGTACTTCGACTGTGATACACATACATATACATATGTCATTTTACTTCCAATATACCGGTAACCCTTTTTTTTTATCGCTGGGGAATCCATTTACGGATACCCGGTCGAGTTTTAATAGACCGGGTTATGTCGGACTCCGGCGCCTCCATAGAAGAAGAGGGAGAAGAGGAAGACCAAAGTCCTCCTCTTCTTCCAATTCCTACCGGGAGACTACGCCTTGAGAAAGGCGCGCGAGGCGCTGCGCGGCGTCTACCACGCAGGACCCGCCCCGCAAAACCGACTACCGACTAAACCCCATCGAGCTATACTGGTAACCCTTCTTAACACGGTACTTCTACAACGCGATAACGAGATTTTTGTATAAATTATTTAGAAAATTATATAATGGGAATACACAATATTATGGGAATACACAATATATGGGAATAACAGAAGTTTAACTGCTTATTTTTTATGGATACTAATAGGTAGATAAATACATACAGGCATAGTTGAGATGTTTCATTCAGAAATATTATTCTCCTTTTTGAACTGACTTATGTCATAACCAACCATATATCGGCTAGAGGCCCGAAACGTTGGACTGACCAGATCCGCACTACCCTCGACACCACAGTTCACGATGCTCTACACTCGGCGGCAGATAGAGGCAAATGGCGTGGAATGGTCCGTAATAAACTCCTGTTGCGAGTAGGTAGTCACGACCCTCAGTATTGAGGAAACCGAAGCAAGAAGAAGATGTCTTAAAACATGGTTTCGCACAACACGGGATTTTGTAGGAACGTGTCTACCGTACTATAGTAGGGCTAACTATATTTAGGTATAAATGTTTAAAATCATGAAAATGATATAGAGCCTGAGGTTAGAAGGAAACGTGAAAAGTCAATGATCTTTGAAATTTGATTATCTTACTATGTTTTAAGCGATATCAAAAAACTTGCTTCGATCACATTATGACGGCAATCTAATAATAGCACAATTTGAGGCATAAACATAATATATAACTATAAAAACTTACTTTAATACATACTGTTGTTCCTTCACGACCTCTTTTAGTAAATGGGCCGTGTTTCTATTTACTTTCTGAAGTTTGAAGCTAATTAGCGAGAAATTGTTACACACGAGCGAAGTCAGCACACAGTAAAGTACGTCGACTGTTGCGTAATATAACACACACGTGAACCCTAGAAAGGAATGGCAAAATTTTATGCTCATATTAGTCAAATTCAATTCAAGTCAAGAATAAGCCTGACCAATCAAATTAGTTTTCTATTCTTGTATCCTTGTTTTGTGAAATGTGTGTGTATTTGTTGTGTGTGTTTTATCTAATTGCTTTTAATGTACATTTATCCAACACATATATACAATATATCCACGTCCACAGTCCACATATGAACTCTCTATATATTGTTACATGTATTTTATATAATTGCATGCAGGAAATCAATGTCACTAAAATGAATTTTGCTATTCAGTCTAGTTTGATCTTACCACAGAAGATGGAATATACGTATACAATAAGCCACGGGATCCAGGAATCAGTTTTAAAAGGCAACAGTACCGCATAGGGCAGAACGAACTGAACCTCGTTACTAACAATATAATTATACGCTATGATGACTGGAGACGAAAAATTGTAAACGAAAATGAGGACGGCGTTCAAAACGAAGAAATACTTCGTTATGAACTTTATGAGAACAAGATTCTTTCTCACAAGCTCCGTCTTTCTGGTGTCGTTTAAAATAATTTTGTGAAGACATTCAAGATTCTGAGTCAACTCGTAAATTTTTTGTCTTTTCACTGTTAAAGCTAAGATTTTTAATACAGACAGCACCCCGATGCAAATGCAGGGTGCTAATTGTGTTAGTTCCAGAAAATTCTCCGACGACATTCTCGAACCGAAAAATGCAATTTCCTCGATCAACATAAGTGACAGAGGTAATAACAGCACGTAATATCTTATTTGTATTTTCGGATTGTCAAACGGGATTCCCATTAGCCAGAAATTCATTTTGATTTGTTTCAAAAGCTCTTCGAATTTTGGTATGTCCATTCTGGCACGCTAGCACGGATAGGAAAGGATTTAGGTGCTTTGTGATGTGTGAAAAGGGACAATTATTTATATCAAAGGGAATTTCAATGCGATTGAGTTTGAAGAGCACAAGGGCTGTGCCGACACAGGAAACTATGACAAATATATTGGCTATTTATGCCGCATCCTTGATGACCATAGAGTTAAAAATAACTACTTTGTTATATTCTTAATTTTTACCTTAATAGGTATTATAACAGGTAAGGCAAAGAAGAAACTATTTAATACATGCATTCTTCCAAGTATGACCTATGGATGCCAAACATGGGGATTGACAAATAAGAATATAAAATCTTTAGAAATTTGTCCACACCGAATGGAAAGAAGTATGTTAAACATGAAATTAAAAGATAATAAAATACGGTTAACAAAAATAAGAAAACAAACAAAGATCATAGATATAAAATACCGAATACAACAACTGAAATGGAAATGGGCTGGACATTTAATTCGAGATATAACAGAAAAATGGGCCAAAGGAGTGACAGAATGGTGTCCTAGATATAAAAAGCGAAATAGAGGAAGACAGCAATGTAGATGAGAAGATGACATCAAAAAAGTGAACGACTTGGATGAGAAAAACGCAGGATAGAATATTATGGAAAACCCTTGGGGAGGCCTATGCTGTACAGCAAGAAGATCAAGAAACCGGTGTCGAATAATAAAACTAGATAATAAGTGTATTAAAAATGTAACTTAAGTTAGATTGTTAATAAAGGCTTATATTATATTATTATTATATTCTTAACTAGCGACCCGCCCTCGTTTCGCTTCGGAAACATTAAATTTTATTATTGATAGGCGAGTCCCGACATGTTGCGCGCGGTACGGTACGACAATAACTGCGGGTGATGCCGCGGGGCGAAGCTAATCTAAAAAAAGTAGTCTAAGTTACTCCTTATATAATCAGCTACCTATTACTGAAAGTCTCATCAAAATCGGTCCAGCCGTTCCAGCGATTATCCGGAACAAACAGACAGACAGACAAAAATTGTAAAAAATGTTATTTTGGTGTATGTACCGTATATATATTTATATGCATGTAGTAAAAAACGGTTATTTCAATATTACAAACAGACACTCTAATCTTATTTATATGTATAGATTATATGGCAAATACACAGTTGCACGCCGAACATAATTATACAATAATCTAATTCGTATAAAATATAAATTGTCATAGAAAATATTGTGGTTGGTTGAAATATAAATCAAGATTATACTGGACAATGAGCGCACCTACGGTGTTTTAATGTCAATGATCAATTGCATTCAACATGAGCTTTTTAGTCAAAAGTCATCTTTAGTGACGGAGCAACCCTGTCTTGCAACCGTCAATCATAAATCATCTATTCATTTTTGTCTCTTTCATGTGACAATTGTAAATATTAACATGTCGCTGTCAAAATAAATTAACACCAATTTTCATCACTTTCTATATCTCAAATTCCTATTGAAGTGGAAATTACCAATAAACCTTTGAACTTGTTTTCGTTATTAAATCTGTTTCTGAATATCGAAATTGAAAGCTGACTAATTAATTATAATACGTATAATGTTTAATAAAATAAACGATGCTTTATCTATCTCTGATCTCAATCTGAGTGTGCATAGCTAATTAATAATTACTCTATTATTTTATATGTTCACAAAGTATAAGTTAATTTTGTTATTTTTGTGTGTATGCTCTCCCTATATTTCGAAATATGAATTCTAATAAGAATTTCTTCGTGTATCTGTTGTTTGTATGTTGGCCGAAATATAATGATTTGAGGAGGAAGATCGAAAGATTTATTATATACTTTTCTACATGTATGACATTACATAACACTTTTTTACTTTTTGTAATTATTCCCCACAATTATGTAACAAAATTTCATAGAATGAAAAATAATGGTTATAGCAAATCCCTCAATTAGCATTCAGTTCTAGATACTAAAAGCTTGTTTCAGTTTACTCTTATTATTTAGAAAATATTATACTCTGGGGGTTACTGAAATTTCAATAGACAGGAAAATTTTACCTAACAATACCTCAATAAAACACTTAAGTCTGTTCATTTACCAATAATGTATTTATAACGATTTTGATCCTTTCTGAATGGCTTTTTGGGATATCATTGAATAATAATGTTTGTAACTACCTACATGAAGTTTATAAATGGTATATAGCTATTTGTAAACTGGAGTTTTTGTCCAATTTTTGTTCTTTTACATTGGCAGGCGAGTTCAAGGCTCACCTAGCGATAAGCGCTTTTCGGAGTCTATGGATACTAGCCTCTCGTAACCACTTATCATCAGGTGGGCCGTGAGCTCGTTCTCTGATGTAAGCCATACAAGAAAACATGACACCCATGAAGTGAAAGTATTTGAAATATTGTATGGCAACTGTCTTGCTATTAAAATCGTAATTCTAATTTCGATAGGATTTTGGAGATATGATACGGGCTTATAAGATAAATTGTTTAAATAATTCTTCTACTCAGAATCATTCTTCTACTCAACTGGTTTCATTGACATGGATGGACATGAGATTAATTATAACAGACTTCGGAGATCCGTATCTGGCATATCAATACGGAACATTAAGCATTTAAGAACGAAGACAAATATTAACATAATTTTACTCAGATATATTCAGTATTTGTATTTTATTTTTTATTGCTTAGATGGATGGATGAGCACACAGCCCACCTGGTGTTAAATAATTACTGGAGCCTATAGACATCTACAACGTAAATGGGCCACCCACCTTGAGATATAAGTCCTAAGGTCTCAAGTATAGTTACAACGGCTGCCTCACCCTTCAAACCGAAACGCATTACTGCTTCACGGCAGAAAAAGGCAAGGTGGTGGTACCTACCCGCGTGGGATCACAAGAAATTCTACCTCTAGTAATTACGTAAGTTATAATTTTGCGGGTTTGATTTTTATTACACGATGTTATTCCTTCACCGTGGAAGTCAATTATGAACATTAAATTTGTTGAGTATTTCATTAGAAAAATTGGTACCCGCCTGAGATTCGGACACCGATGCTTCGCTCAACTGCACCGGACGTCTTATTCTTTAGGCCACGACGACTTCTAGTTTTATTTATAGTTAGCTTATAATAGTTATATAATTTGGGTAGGCAGCGGCTTGGCTCTGCCCCTGGCATTGCTGAAGTCCATGGGCGACGGTAACCACTCACCATCAGGTGGGCCGTATGCTCGTCTGCCTACAAGGGCAATAAAAAAAAAAAAAAAAAAAAAACGTCACGCTAAGAACAATATCACCGAGCAAATATCACTCGCTCGGTGGAAGATCTTCCCTTTGTTGTTTAAGCCTTCCCACAAGAGGTATTCCTATTCTTTCTCAAGGCTTAAACTATATCTGTAACGAATTTCGTCAAAAACAGTTCAGTGGTTTCGGCGTGAAAATGTTATAGACAGACAGAAAATCTGTGCAATGGTGTCGGAAATGTACGCGAACAAAGAAAAGGGGGCACGGAAGGAAAAATTGCTTTTATATTTTCTTTTTTTCCTTTCTGTATATTTTACTTTTCTTCAATATAGTGACAAATCGAATTATACTGACGATTACCGTTATTTGTTATCCTGAGACCTACGCAAGTGATAAGCCGGATGTACAGATGGGATCATAATTCTGCTTTGCGCAAGCAACTGATTGACTTATAATTAATTGACAAATCATTAATTGACCTATATGACTGTCGTCACATAAATGGGCATATTATTATTATTTCGCTCGGACTTAAAAGCGGCGAGCGACGTCACCATCATCATGGCTGTGTGACTAACCACGCGAAGCTAAAAGATATAAGTTTTATTTCTCACTTGTGAATTTTGGGTTATCCAAATACATCTACATTATTAAGTATTTGTGGGTCACTTAATTATTGAATAATTGTTTTAATAATAATAATAATATATAATAAATAATAATATGCTTCTGTTTGTCATGTCTAAGGATTAGAGAAACTATAATATAATACTTACCAACAGATGGCCCACAATATCCTTTGGGTTTTTAAGGAAAAACTTCGATTGTCTTACCAGAATCTGACTCAGATAATACTTTTTTTCATTCGTTCTTATTACAATCTTACATATTCATTCACATTATAAAATATCAACGGAACTTGCCCTAGATATAATTGTCGTATACAAATGAATATGCAATTTCGAAAAGGGCACATGTCGCATATTTTGTCAAATACGTATTTTCATGTACATGTAGTTTTGAGGCTTACCTACACCCATTTTATAACAATTCCAGTAATTTTCAATAGCTAATTAACACTAAAATATATCTCAAAAGCTAATATTTAAAAAAAAAAATATTTGAAAAAAACTGATTATTTTCTAAAGCAGTGTTTTTGCACTGCTTTAGTTTTTTCATTTTCTGAACATTTTACATTTTCAGAGATGTGCCCTTTTCGAAATTGCATATTCAAATAATGTCGTCACAGACGGACGATATGAAAAATTGTATTCTGTGCTGTTTCGCAAAATGTGAAATTGATTCTTGACTAGAACGCTCCAGGCTACAAAGTGCCAACAAATAATCCAGCCAATTCAGTACGTAATTTCGAACTATCCTGACCAAAATCCAAGTTAGGCATCCTGTTTCTGACACTTAAACGGTATCTATGTATTTACTTGGTCACTTTATTTGTGATACTATTTATTAATTAAAAGCAAATTTGTTATATTTCTGTTTTATATTAAGACTCATTTCACAAATTTGGTTGGCTACCGCCTATTTCCTTATTATGTTTCGTTAAAAGAACTTTATAGAGAAAGTTAAAAAAAAATATGTTTTTTTTTTCTAACAAGCCAGTGCCACAGTAATGCATTTCGGCTTAGGTATAGGGAAGTAATCTTGGTACTTATAACAATATATCTCTTCATATTTTTAATACGCTTTTATTAGCCTCATACGTATGTTAGTACCTATGTAACGGAATCTTTGAACATGATTTTGAA